AGAAAATTCTGATTGTCTGGTTTTAAATAGAATTTTAATTAATGCAACCAGACTTTTTTTTCGTGTTGGAAATATAATGTCATTGAAGTACATCTGAGTATATTTAAGTAATGACTGACTTTATCAAACAAAACAGCTCAGTGAGTATTTACTGATTCTTTAATATGATTGGTTCTTTAGTTTTTCACTCTAAGTGTGAAAACCTCTTATAATAAAGAATCACCGAGTGCTCACTCAAATGTTTTATCTGCTGAATAATTACTCAAGTATACTCAGATATATTAAATGATATTCTATTTCCTGTTATTATATAACAAAAATTAATATTAAGTAATTTTATATTGTTATTTCATTTAAAAATTGTCAAGTTTCCGTGGCTTATCCTATACTTATTATATCCTCTCTTTTTTTTAAATATACGCACAATATTTGATAAAAAATAATTTTGTATATGATAGTTATCATCTTTTGAAAAGAAAACGGAAATATAATTTTGGATCTTAAGTATCTTTTATTTAAAATATAATTTGATTGAAACTGAGTCTGTTATTATTGATTCAAACAATACGAGATACTAATAGGCAGAAATTTTATTATTAATGATTGATTTACTGCTCTACGGTTGACAAGTTAAATTGTAGGGTGTATCTCGTGAGATTCACGAATCTTTTTGATTTCTATAATTAACTTATCGATTATATACCGATATAAAGATATGTTATATACGATTAACGTATACGGCAAAAAGATATCGATCCGCCTATTGATCTCCTCCTCGAACGATGAATCAGCCCTACGGTATCGTATGGAAATTAAGCGAAGTATAATTAATGCCGCGCGAACATATGATATCTCAGCGCCGCGCGTTTCGTTGATGAATCATCGTGCGTGTAGCTTGTACGGTTCAAGACGAACACGCTTTATTAATTAACACGACTCATTTGGTTCGATGCCACTAATTGCGGCTCTGACCCGCCTGAATTCCTGCGAATTTTCTTCGTCCAGCGAACATCGCTATCTCCTTTAACGGTCCGTAGTGAGACGTGGATTCTCGTTTAAAACGCAGTAAATCCATAACCGAGTATTTTAATGGTTAAATTTAACTGCTCCGTTGCGTGTAATTTCTCGTTTTACGTGACCACGTCGTTTTCACGGCGGGCGGTATCGCCTAGTCAAAGTAAAACGCCGATTCGCGTACGTCGATCGTGACGATTACTCAACACTTGGGCATTCGTTATAGAATCTGTGTACGCAGGACAGATGGTGCGTATTCATATACGCACGTATGTAGCATCGAGGAATTTATTGTGGAAATCTCTCGGCCTTCATTTCAACCCCGCTGCGTCCCGTGGATTCCTTCGTATTCCAATATTGTGCGATCGACTGCACAACAATCCGGCGTCTTTATCCACGCAAGGTTGCTCGCGTCGCGTATCTTTGGAATATTAATTAATGGTAAACTCGTGTGGCCTCCGAATTCCAATATATCGGCCTCTCGATGAGACGCTCATTATTATTATTTGCCTGCGTCTTTGATAATACGAGTTGCGCGCGGAATTAATGTATGACTTTGTTTTATATTGTATACTTAAGGCGCGATATTTATACTAGAGAAGCGCAGCTTGAAGAATAGTCGATTTGCTCTTGCATTCTATTATGATTTTAATTTTCGTCTTCTGTTTATGTACAGAATCATACAATGAAAAACATTTCGTGTTTGTTTTGGAAACGATCCACTCAATTCCTTGTGTTAAAATTTTGTGTTGAATTTTTTAACATATTCAAATGTTAACTAACATGATGACATGTCACTTAAATAATTTGTGTTAAATTTTACTCGAAAATATATTTTCATAATTTCCTTACAAATTGTCAGTATTATCTTTTGTGTTTATCAAATTAATACATAAATTAATACATAAATTCCGTTTGATATATGCGAAGTATGTTACATTTAATACAAATTTTCCAACGATGGCAAAACGCGGATCATTATTCTATCTTTCGGTCGATTATTTATTGTGTCTGCAAACTTGTGTATCCCCGACGTGTTGCAATTACATACATCGGTACTTAGTCGTCACATATTCGTGCGGTGTCATTGTGCTTAGAGGACATTTACGTCGAAGAGAATAAATACAGCGTCCCTCGTCCCTTTCGGACCTCGTTTTCCGTTCGTCCATTCTTTTTTTTTCTCTCCTCTACCTTCGCTCATATCTCGCCTTTACCGGATATCGTGGGACTCTACATCGTCTCGTGTATGCAGAAATAAGCCGATATTTACATAATATAATGCGCGTAAAACGCGTCTGAGGAGATTCGCCTCATCTCGCTGTCGTGGCGGAAGAGATGGCGATGGCGAGAAGAGAAAGAGAGAGGAACGGCGTTTTGCAGACGCGTTACTTGTAATCGAATGTGACGGTACGTCGTGCCTCGCACAAGTCCGTTGTAAATCAGGAAATCCGCCATCCTACGCCCACGTCAGATTTATATCGTTCTTAAACGACGTCGTGGAACGTCGCTTGATCGGCCGTTGCGTTGTTTTATCACATCGTACGTGCGTGTTTGCATATCTCGAATAAACGTGTGGAATTGTTCTCGCGTATTGCATTGATAATAAAGTAACTGGTTATTTGTACAATCGACCAGTCACCTGCTACGACTTGCGAAACGCCATTCACGGTTGTTTCATTCGACTCGGACAATATTTATCGTCGCGGCTACCGATTTTATCGATCACGAATTGGAAATGAAAAATAGAAATAGCTAAATAATGAAAGTCTTATCTGGCAAATAACAGTCGTCCGCTTTTAGAATGACATTTCACGACAAAAAAAACTATTGCAAGAGATATGATAAAACGCGCGATTGCAAAAAAAAAATAATTTTGTGTGTTATGAAATAGTTTAGTTTATGGAAACACGGATGATAAGACGAATCGCCAATTCAGAGAAAGAAATACAGATATTTTGTCTTTCAGCCAATTTCTAAGAAGCGTCTTTAACGAAGCATTATTCTGTCCGTCTGCCTTACATCGTGAATCGTAATTACATTCTTTGTTCAATTAACAATCGCATTGTCGTGATTTTCTTTGCTTTATAATCTCTTTAGAATTTTTTTGCAAATTTGCTGGATAGTTTTTATGCTGTTTTTAAAACTAAAATTACCGATTGTATCATTTTGACTCCGCTAATTATTTTAACTTTTTTTTTATATTATACAGTACAGAATTGAAAATATGTGAATATAATAGAAGTAATTCTAATGACATAAATAATATCAAAATAACTTTACTAACTGAAAATAAAAAAAATTAAATTGGCATCTTCGACCATTCTTGCGATATTATCGGCGGTTCTAAGAGAATAACTTTAGATTAAAAAAAACTGTATCTATATTTAGCGATAAGTTGTTTATAATTTATTTGTCAATGGAAGCATAATTATCCGATGAATCTTCTAATCTTTATTGGCTTTGTCTTGTAACTGGATTTGAAGTATGCAATTATTTCTATGGGAAGCTTAGAAATTCTGAGGCTTCAGGGCTTGACACTCGAAATCTAATTGACTCTAACGAACTTTCTTTGCATAAAGACGAGCCGACAAGCTCTCGACTGCAGTTTTCTTGGCTAGTTTAGTAAGCTGCATACCAGAGAGATTGTCAAGGGTCTTTTAGGACCGGGACAAAGGTGGTGCTTCTCATGTCGTACAGCTCGTTGTGCATTGTGCACTTTCCGGGAAAACTAACCCCGTTCACGGAAGTTTGATATTATTTATAAGTGATGGGCCTCGGGGTACGATGGGAAAGAGTTAAGCGACTTCATTTTGGAGTGGCGGTACTTCCGGGCGCAAGATGAGAAACTTTCGACGACTATACAAGTATCATCACGGAAACGTATACACTCGTGGGCGAAAAGCCTGTCTGTGTAATCAGTTTTAACTAACTATATGTGGGAAATGAGATAATGAGCTTTTCGATGTCGTGTAGCTTCTACATTTTCGTGCAAATTGATAAGATTTAAATTTTGGCAAATTAGCGAAGAATCGAGATAATTTGTGTTTCTATGATATTAATTTTAAACTCTTAATTTAAATTTACGAAAAATTAAGCTCAATTTTTAATCAGCTTTCTGATGATTATATATAATTATGTTGTCGTCAAAGCTTCTCGGTAATGTAATTTACATTCGATGTTTTGCTAATGATAGCGTAATAAAGCGAAGTAATAAAGTTGTTAATGAGATACGTGATTTTAGAATGACATGGAAAATGCCTGGGTCTCTCTCTCTTTTTAACGACTTTAAATATATCGCGTGTTGTGAAGAGCCGTGTTGAAAGCAGCTATCGGTTGATGCTCGAGCGCTATCATTTCGCAAAATGGTAGGACTCGGAAGTATTACCGCGAAAAGTCGTACATTGCAGCTTTATAAGGTATCGATTTACGATATAAGATTTACGACGTGGGAGTATATCTTACGTACGATATCGTTTATTTTTATGATTCTCTTTTCTCGTTTATGTTCTCCATGCCTTAAGGAAATTCTATACCAGGATAAAATACTATTTGTGATGATTCATATCACTGATTTCTGAGAATTCAGATGATTTATATTTGCTCAATCGTGATACATATTTATGTATCTATTATACGTCAAAAGTATTTTTATCGCTTGAGTCAAAATCATCCATTATTTGCAAAGTATTAATGTAAACCGATCCGAATAGATATTCAATATCATTACACGATGTTTATTGATCGTTAATATTTATGACTCTAAGGGCTATATTGAGTCTTTAGATAGTATATTTTGTTTAAAGAGAGTATCTCAATAATATCGTACAGAATAATATACAATAACACCCAGAGGAAAGTTTCTTCGATTTAAAGAAATGTTTCTTTGAGTTAAAGAAATCTTTCTCTCGGTGAATATTGAGTGTTTACGGTCTCTTTACATCTCAGAAGAAAATGAAATTTGAAGAAAACTTTATCTTTGTTTTCAGCAACCGCAAGAAGAAGTAAAAGCTGAGGAGACGAAGCAAGAATCGGCTGGAGGAGACTCTCCTGCGGAGGTTGCGGAGGTCACGACGCCCACAGAGGCCACCCCTGCCAGTCCGAACACTGCCACTTCTCCAGACAATAAGGAAGCCAAAAAGAAGGAAAAGGTAAGGTCGACTTGCATCTGCGCTCGCCGATCCAGACTTAATTAAATCCGTGCTTGATAAAATACATCAATTTTCCTCATATCACGATAGGATATCGAAACATATTCACGTATCATCAATTGTTCATGTTAATTTAGAAGCTTTCCTTCTACGAAATGTGATGCTAATAATTACATGCGATTGCCGATTGCTATCAGACATGTCTCCTCGTTTTTCTAGAAGAAAAAGTGGTCCTTCAGGTCGATCAGCTTCAGCAAGAAGGACAAGACTAAGCCGAGCCGCGATGAAACGCCCAAGAATGGAGACGTCACCAAGGAAGAGCCACTCGCAGAGGTGAGTCGCGAAAGAGCATTCTACAAGAATATATTGTTGCTCCAATTGATGGAGTGACAAGAACTTGCTTTGCTAAAACACTGCGCTTCTCAAAATAAACATAGGATCTGTTTTTAACGTTATTTCGGTACGATTGCAAAATTCGTTACCTCTCGCTTTCGGGAGAACGAGATGTTATATTTGCCTGTATGTATTTTTCAATTATCCAATGTTTGTTTGGAAACGTTTCTGCCGAATACTCGTAATTGAAAAAACAATATGCATAATTTATATCTCTCAGTAACAAATAATTGGATAATTTTACCTCTTAACTAAATTTCATAACACCGATTGTGCGTTTTCGCGCTAAACAATTATCACGCTCTCGTATCGAGTTCAATTTTCAGCTCGAGCTAATTACTCCGCTTTTTGATATCATTTGCGTTTATTCTCGAAAAAGTCGCAAGTTTTTAATTTTGTCGATATTGCCATTTCTTGTTATCGACGCAACGACAAATAAAACCCGCGCGACGATCCCGACGCGTTACGCAATGCGCTTCGATAGCATGAGGCATTACTGCAAATAAAATTGTTTTTTTGCGTTCATCCAACAATTCTCGTGAAATACATACATATCGCAGCGCCTGAACAAGTTCCAGGACAAGGCAGCGTAGGTGCACAATCGTAACGCGGGGAAAAACAGAGCGATCGGCTTTACGAGCGGCAATGAATCGCCGCGACCCCGTTCCGACTTCCTCGATCTTTTGCCGGCTGCATAATCGCCGCGACCGAATAATCGACCAGCCAGCTGTGTCGAAAAAGTCTCGACCAATAACGGCCTATGTTTGATCAAGCGTAGCACTTCGTGTTTCCCTTGAAGTTCGTGCCGCGATCCGCGTGCGCCGCACGAAGATACCTAATCGCGAACGGCCACGCGATAGCCATCACGGGATTAGGAACGGATTAGGACTCATGACATCCCTATGCAATTAAATCGTTGCTCTCCTTACCCAAGTCTCAATGTAACTTAATCTAAATTAATCAAATTCTGTATTCTGTTGTAATTATTGAATTCGCACACATTCGTTGATAGTTTTTTAATTATTCGCATCTGGTAAAAACTGACAGTTTAAAAAAAATGTTTTTAAAAATCTTTCTCTAAATTTCCCTATACATAGCTTAAGTTAGCCTAAAGATCCTACAATAATTTGATTAGGAAAAATTTCAAGCAAGAGTGAAAAGAAGAATAATATATACTGTCTCTTTTTATATGTATTCTCTAAAATTTTTAGAGTGAATTGTCACTCTGATGAGTGAAATTAAAGATTGAAAATTCAGCTACTCTCTTTCAAAATTTTGAAGTGAGATTTCATTCTGAAAAATTTAGAGAGTATTCTGTCTCATTCTTACGTACTGAAACTGATAAAAACAACAGTTTGTTTTGTGCTAATCAAAAGTTTGTAGCCAAATTCTGTTATAGGGTCTCTAGGTTAACCTAGAGACTGCTAACGTCACTGAACAGAATCGAGGGCTTTCGGTGCTTAATTGACTCCGGAGCGTCCGATAAATCTGGAAGGTGCTCGCGATTATCAGAGATTTATTTGGTAGAAACGATCATCTTAGCGCTTTGCGTCCGCGTTAATAAAGTTTTGTTAGTATCCCTCATGATTTCTCGGTTCTCATATTTATCGACAGGACGAGGGCCATTTCCCCGGTGTCGTATCATTGTCGCTCAGGGAAATGATGAAGTATTATGCAGCTACACGTTATATCTCGTGACGCTGACGGCGCAGCCATTACAAGGACGCGACGGCCTTTCACGAGCTCCGTGAATGATGGAGCTCATTTTGTAGATGTTATTATTAATCTTCGTCGTTGCGGCTTAACAAGCTATTCCACGTTACGCGCGCTTTATACCTTGATCAGTGCGATTATATTGTGATCGCGCGATACCTCGCGTCATAAGGATGCACCGAGTCTCGGAAGCTTCAATTGGACGATCGATTCTTGGAAAATTAACGACGTAATATTGTAATAATATATGAATAATTAAGTTTTTCTCATAACATAGTGTGATAACAACAAACATAGCTGTAGCAATTTTGTTTACACAGGAAGGATGGTTTTGTTGAAATATCTAAAGATTTAGCTACTACTCTCTAAAACTTTTAGAATGAATCTTTCTCTGAAGAGTAAAGTCTCACACTTTGAAAATTGAACCACTCCTTTTTAAGACTTAATTTTCACTCTTTGGAATGAGATTTTTTCCAAAGCATTTAGAGAGTAGATATAGACGTGGAAATAATTGTTGGATCATCAAAATAGTTATGTATGTAGGACTCTCAAACTAATTGTTAGAATGTTAAAATTTTTTATAACATTGCTCATCGCGCTTGAGATTTTCGCATAATTATTAGTCCAACAAACTTATTTTTAAATCTGTATCCAGCTAAATTTTTAGATACTTTAGCAAAATCGTTTCTTCTGTGTGTAGCTCACACATTTCTTTCTGAGAAAATTTTGCGTTAGATTGTGTACATTTAGAGATTGAATACTAATATCATTTCTACCAACATAAATGAACTTTAATCTCGGTTTAATTTACCTTTTATCTCTTCCTAGTTCTTCAGAAAGATAAAAAGTAAATTAAACCGAGATTAAAGTTCTCCATTGAAAAAAAACCTGAGACGAAAGTCCCCCATTGGTAGAAATAAGAGCGGCGATAAGAATGAAAGCAACAACGTACTTCGCTTGCATCCACCTGCTGAAGTCACGTTCTGAAAAGCATACTGGGATAATTATCCTGAGGCAGCAATGAATCATCATAGTTCTTTCCGGTCAACGCAAGCAGGCAGCTGCGATTCGTTTGCCGGCAGATGCATAATAAATAGCGACTCCAGCTCTCGCTTTTCTTCCCGTTTCTCTCGCAATTTTTTTTTTCCTCGCTCTCTGCAGCTTCCCGTCTTATCTTGCCCTCTCGAGTACATAGTCTCACGTAAGTGAAGCATGTAGCCGTAAGATCTCGCGACGGCTGATCCTTTCGTTTCCTTCACCACCTTCCTCTTCGTCTTCCTTTACAGTCTGCAGTTCAGCCGCATTCGCGTGCGTGGTCTCCCTTCCTTCCCTTTCTTCGTCGCCACGACCTCGACGCGACAGAAAGAGAGTGGGAAGAGAGAAGAACAGCCGTGACTCATCCCTCCGGTTCGTCGTACCTCCTCGCGCGCAACTTTCGTGATAGGCCGTCGTGGAAAACCGGCTCTTCGCCGCGCGTGGTTAAATTATCCCCGCCGGTTGCTTGCCTGCCTGCTTGTCTGCCTGCCTGCCTGCCTGCTTGCCTGCCTGCTAGCCTACCAGCCAACCAGCCTGATTCCTTGTCGCAGCCTCCAGCTTCGACCAGCAGCTCATCCCGATAGACAATGGCTCTTTGCCCGATATTAAACAAGCATGATAATTTTATCGTCGGATCAGTTGACTGACTATAAGTTGTGGTATTGTTAAAAATTTATTCGATTACTATCCGACGTAATGTCGTTGTAGCACTACTCGCGTTATTATTCGGAGTTATTCTCCCGCTTTATCAGTCGGTTTGACGAAAGTAAGAACCTAGATGTTGAAGACCCTTCCGATTGGAGATGGTATAATGACGGGACTTCATTAGCGTTGTTACGTTATTTATAGACTCCGCGCGTCTTACGGTACTTTTTGCTTTATCGGCAGACTATCGGCATATCATTTTTGCATCCTGTTCTCGCAGTCGTTTATCACCGCGAGTGATGGATGCGGTCGTATCGCTTGGACAGTTGAAAACATGCATTCTCCATAGCGCGGGATGGACTGAAGGTTCTGTGCTCTCATGGAAAGAATTCTAGATATTTATAGCTTGTATCGTCTCGTTGTCGACATTAATGTCCTTGATGAATCGGACAGTTGCTGCATCTTATTTATTATCCTTCGAGCGAGTTTGGCAGTTATTCTTTCTCTAATTAAATAATAGATACAATATTTAGACAATTATTATTTGAATTTATTCGATGGTTATACAACAGTTTTGTGGTATATCTGGTATCATTACGCGAAGAAAAATGATTGAGTAATTTTTATCTTACAAGACTAGTAAAAATATTCTGTCTATTTTTCACAAAGTTTACTTGTTTGAAAGTAAAAATCCTGGAGGATAAGGTAAAAAGTACATTATAGTAAATCCATTCAAAGTAATTATTATTTTACAGTAAAATAAATCATATTCTCGAAATTTTTAGGTAAGCATGAACAACTCTCAAGACTTTATATACTTGTATTTTTTGCCCTGCAATAAAATAAATTTTGTCAGCACTAAGGCAAAAAATACTCACCAATAAAGTAAATTCTAAAGTAAATTTCTAAGATATATGGTAATTTATAGATTTATTTTACGAAATATGTAAAAAGTACCTTATAATATTGCTATACGATGATTGCTGATGATTTGACCAGAAAAGTAAAGTAAATTTTGACGTAAATGTTCCTATGTCCAATTCCAAAAATTTACTAGAATTCTAATGCATGTTACTTTACATTTTTCTCCGCGTAGTAGATGCAGAGAGAGAGAGAGAGAGAGAGAGAGAGAGAGAGAGAGAAAAAGTTTGTTATTGTTCTAGAGCTGTGCCCTCTAAGAACAAATTAATGTAAAGATGATATAGAAAACAAAAAAGAAAAAATTACAAAAATTAAAGTAAACGAGTTACAAAAAAACAATGAATTTAGCAAAAATAAAATAAAGTATAACACAAAAAATATAATACAAGAAGAGAAAAAGATAGAGTGAGAGAGAGAGGGGGGAGGGAGGAACATCTCAAGGATAATAACCTTCGAATCATCGTGAGTACCACCGCGAGTTTTAGCCGTTCAACCGCGACTTTCACTCCCTTCGAACGGCCCAGCATTCCGGAGTCATTAAAGAATTACAAGTAGTATGCAACCGCGTACAAACGTTGTTGTATGCGTAATAGCGACATGACATTGTTGAGCATGTTATGACATGG